ACCTCCCATTATCCCCTCCCATCCCCCCATCCCCAGCCTTTGCATAGGGGAGCCACAGCACTCTAGCCTAGGTCTTCGTTTTCTTCTTCTACATTCTCTGAGTGATCTCATTAGTTCCCGTGATTTCAGAAAACCTTCAATGCCTCCTTACTGAGGCAACTAGTGGCTCCGTGTTGGGTCTGGAGTCAGGATAGATTGGAGTTCAAATCCTGACTCAGACACTTACTATCTGTAGGACCCTGGATAAGTAACAGCCCTTTGTTTGGCTCGGTTTCCTCCACTGAAAATGGGGATAATAATAATAGCACCTACCTCATAAAGCTGTTGTTAGGATCAAATGATATATTTATCAATAAGTGCCTGGCATATAGTTGGTGCTATATACATGCTTATCTCTTCCCATCCCACCCCCCATTGCCTCTAGATAATATATAAACACCTTTGTTTGGATTTAAAACACTTAAGTATTTGGCCCAACCTATTTTCCCATACTGATATCATATTATGCAGTTATGTTTCAGCCAAACTGGTCTTATTTACTTTCTCTTTATATAGTGTTCCATCTCCCACTTCTTTGCCTTTCTACAAGCTGTCTCTGCCTAAAATGCTCTTCTTCCTCACAGATATCTCTTAAAAGCCACAGCTTTCTTCAAGGCTCAACTCAGGTGCATCTTCTAAAGGCCTTTCTGGATTCCTCCAGTTATTAGGGACCCCTACCCCCTAAATTGTATTTACACACACAGACACACACACCTATATACATACATATACATATATATGTACATATACATATATACACACATATATATGTATATGTATATATAACACACACACACACACACATATATATATGTTCCATTGTCCCAATAGAATGTAAGCTTCTTGAGGGCAAGAACTGTTTTATTTCTGCCTTTATATCACAACACTGCATACTGAAAAAAAAAAAAGACAGCTGACCCCAGAACATCCTTGATCCTAGGCCCTGATAAAGAAAATAGATTTCACCAGAATAGTAGCCATAAAGCCCAGTTAAGTTTGCATTACATTAGCTCAGGACAGCTATCTCTGCTTTGGGGCTGGACATTTAAGGTGTTATCATTATCTCCTAATTCTGAAGACAAAAGAAATCAATTATCCTAAACAAAAGCAAGACCTCTGTTTTAAATAAGTAAACATACACACACACACACACACACACACATGCATATATATTATACATGTATGTGTGTGTGTGTGTGTGTGTGTGTGTATAATATTTCCCCAGAATACCCAGGAGGTTTGGTCCTGTGTGTGTGCATGTGTGTATGTATGTGTATTGTGTTAGGACTACGACATCCAAGTCAAGTGAGCTCTTCTAGATGACACAAAATTAATTTGCCTTGGATCCAAAAATTGCTGTTTGGAAAGGAGTCAGAGAATCTGCCAAACACATCAATTACTCCCTCGTACATCCAACTAGTGCAGACTTGGACTTTTTCTTTCCTCCTTCCTTTTTGACACCACTTGACACACGCTCCTGTGTCCAGAGACTCACCAGGGTGAGTTAGCTCCATTTTCAGCTGGAGCTGGGATGATCCTGTCTGTACCAACACGGCTCTGGAATCCACAGCCAGCAGCTTCCAGACCCTGGGGGCAGCTGCAAAGCTCACAGGGTTACACCACTCCCTTGTCCTCCTCTGAACCTGTCTCTTCTAATTACCGAAAATTGACCGTGGGCTTCAGAGAGTAATCAGGGGAGATAAAATGTATTACACAGCAATTTCAGTTCATGGCCAGTAACCATGGCAACACCCAGGCAATAAAACCTAAACTATGGAATGATCTCCAAGGGCAAGAGTTTTGTGTCTTGAAGCCAGATGTTTGCTGCTGCTTTTCTAGCAATAAAAAAAGCTTTTTGGTTTTGAAAAGGTTTAAATATCTATTTTATTTTTGAAAAAATATTTTTATTTTTAACTTTTTTTAAATTTTGAGTTCCAAATTCTCTCCCTGCCACCTCTTTCCCACCCACTGAGAAAGCAGGCAATATGACATCAATTATACATGTGAAATCATTCAAAACATATTTCTATATTAGCCATATTGCACACATACACATAAAGTAAGAAAAATAACGAAAGGGAAAAAAAAACTCTACTTCAATTTGCACTCAGAGTTCATCAGTTAGTCTTTTGGAATTTTCTTGGATCATTGTATTGATCAGAGTTGCTAAGTTTTTCACAGTTGATCATCATTACAATATTGCCATTACTATGTACAATGATCTCCTGGTTCTTCTCCCTTCACTTTGAATCAGTTCACATAGGTCTTGAGATATTTTTCTGAAACCTTCCTCCTCCTCATTTCTTATAGCACAATAGTATTCCATCACAATCATATGCCACAACTTGCTCAGCCATTCCCCAATTGATTAGCACCCCACCCCCAATTTCCAATTCTTTGCCACCAGGAAAAGAGTGGTCTTAAAGTTACAAGTCTTAAAAGTGGTAAGAAAAAAGAGAGAAAAAGAAATACAATAGGAAGGAAATGAAGAAGGGAGTGAAACACTTTCTCTTCAATGGCATGAAAAAAGTATAAAAGCACGCAGGGTAAATTCAGTGGGGAGGAAGAGAGGAAAAAGTATAAGAGAATATGATGAAAAGAAATACACAACTAATAATCATGACAATAAATGTAAATAAAAATAACTCATCCATAAATGTAAGGAGAATGAAGGATTATTTAGAAAACAGAATCCCAAAATATGCTATTTATAAGAAATAGACCTGTAATTATGAAGATTCATACTATTTTAAAGTTAAGGATGGTCAAAGGATATGAAAAGGCAATTTTAAGGAGAAGAAATCAAATCCATTCATATAAAAAATTTTATATCACTAATAATTAGAGAAATGCAAGTAAAAGCAACTCTGAGGTACACCCAGTAAATTGGCTATTATGAAAGAAAAAAATGACAAATGTTGGAGGGGATGTGGAAAAATAGAGACACCAATTCACTATTGGTGGAATTGAAAACTTATCCAACCATTCTGGAGAACAGTTGAGAGTTATAAAGTTCTGCATACCTTCTGACCCAGCAATACCACTGCTAAATCTGTATCCCAAAGATATCAAAGGAAAAATAAAAGAACCTATGTGTTCAAAAATATTTATAGCAGCTCTTTTTGTGGTGACAAATAATTGGAAATTGAGGGGATGCCCATTATTTGGAGAATGACTGAAGATGTTGTGGTACGTGATTTTGATGTAATACTATTGTGTTGTAATGACAAAGGGGATAGTTTCAGAAAAATATGGGAAGACATATAAGCTGATACAGAATGAAGTGAGCAGAACCAGGAGAACACAGGAACAGCAACATTGAAACAATAATCAACTGTGAAAGCCTTACTTTCTTAGTAAAAGGCGCATCAGTACAATGATTCACAACATTTCCCAAAGACTTATTATGAAAACTGCAATCTACTCCAGAGAAAGAACTGATGAACTCTAACTGCAGAGCAAAGCAAAATTCTTTGACTTTATTTTTCTTGCTTTCTGCCCTCCCCTTGACATGTTTAATATGGAAATACATTTTGCATGACTTCACACATATAATGGATATGTCTCACCTTTTCAACAGACAGGGGCATGGGTTGAAAGGAGATAAATATTTTGGTACTCAAAATAAAAAATAACTACATGCAGGCACAGACTTTATCATGCTTCAGAAGTTTTTTTTGTTAATAGTGTTAGAAATTATGACCTCAGACAAGGCAAGAATAAATATAGACATGGTAAAAAAAAAAAAAATTTAAACTTTATTATGCAAAGAAACATAGACAATGAAATACTATCAATTCTTATATGCATGTATTGGATGGCATAGTATCTGGGTACTCAAGTGAAAATTTAATCAAATTACCATGAGATATAGATAGTAAAACCATAATAGCTGAAAATTACAATGTACCCTTTTCAATCTTAGATAAATCTAATGAAAAATAAATAAGAAATAAGTTAAAAAACTGAATATAATTTTGAAAAAGTTAGATATGATAGATCACAAAAAGTTATACATATTTACAATAGTACAGTACAAAAACCTGACCCTTAGATCAGGCATAAATTTGGAAACAAATTTAGAAAATCAGAGCTATTAATAAATTCTTACTGATCCCAAAGCAATAAAAATTATAATCAAAAAATGATTTTTGAAGATTGAATTCAAACTTAAGTAGAGACTGAATCATTTAATCCTAAAGAATTTGTGGGCTAAAAGAGCAAATCCTTGAAACAATATATAATTTCATCAAAGGATGACAATGACATTACATTCTAAAATTTTGAAGATTCAATCAAAACAGCCCTTAGGGGAAACATACATATCTAAACACTTTCAGTGAGAGGGACACACACACACACACACACACACACACACACAGAGAGAGAGAGAGAGAGAGAGAGAGAACAGATTAATGAATTGGACATGTAACTGAAAAAAACTATAAAAACAAATTTAAAAACTCCAACTAAAAACAAAAAATAAAAATTTCGGGGAAAGGATGGACAAAATTAAAAGTAAAAAACTCATTAAACAAATAAAAGTAGGAGATTTTTACAAAAAAAATAATCAAATGGATAAATCATTAATCTGATCTTTAGAAGATAAAAAACAAATTGCCAATATCAAAAAAGAAAAAGAATTTACAATATCTGAAGTAGAAATAAAGGAATTTTAAAACTATTTAGTGCAATTATATGCTAAAAATCGATAACAAATGACATAGATAAATTTCCAGAAAAAAAATAAAATTTCTAGATTAACAGTATAATAAATAGGTCATTAAAATTACCCAATCTCAGGAAATGAAATCGAGCAAGCCATAAATTAATCCCCAAAGAAGGGAGAAATATGACCAGATGGTTTTACAAGTGAATTCTATCAAAACATTCAAGGAACAGTTAATTCAAATCTTACATAAAGTGTTTTCAAAAATAAGTAAAGAAAGGATCTTACCAAATTCCTCCTATGAAACAAATATGGACTTGATACCTAAACCAGGGAGAAAAGAAAGCAATAGATCAATATCCCTAATGAGTATCACTGCAAAGATATCAGATAAAATGTTAGCCAAGGAAGTTAGAAAAACATAATAAAAAAATTAGACACCATGGCATGTTTGGATTTATATCAGTGATGCAGGAATTTGTTCAATATTAGAAAAACTATAAATATCAAAGACCATATTAATGATAAAAATTAAAAATACATAACAATAACAATAAAGAGGTGATTAAAAAGCTTTTGACAAAATACGACACTCAATAAAGAAAAACATTTACAAACAGAGGAATAAGTGGACCTTTTCTTAATATGATAAACAGTATACCTCTCTCTAAAACCAACAGCCAACATTATGTATAAGAAAATAAACAAACAAATAAATGAACAAAATAAGAGGCAAGTCAAAGATGTCCATTATCACTACTTTTATCTGATATAATTCTAGAAATGTTAGCCATTGCAATAAAACAAGAAAAAGAAATAGAAGGAGCAAGTATAGGCAAAGAAGAAACAAAATTATTACTTTTCTAAGTTAATACTTAGAGACCCTTAAAGACTAGCTGAAATAATTAATAATTTAGCAAAGTTTCAGGACATAAAATAAACCAACACATCATTAAAAAAATTTTATCTTAACAATAAAACCCGGTAAGAAAAGATAGGTAGGGAAATTTCATTCAGAATTATTATGGAACTTATAGAAAATATTTGGTAATTCATCTATCAAGACCGCCACAGGAAGTACATAAAACATTCTTCAGAAGTAAGGGCAGACAAATAATTGGAGAGATATTTATTGCTCATGGCTGCATAATATCAATGTAATAAAAATAATAATATGACTTTAATTAACTTACTTATTCAGTGCCATTCCAATTAAACTACCAAAGGATTACCAAGGGGGAAATACACAAAATTTTTTTAGAGGAATACCTTCTGAGAGGAGATGGACTACAGGTATAGAATGAGACATGGTCATTGTGTGGATGCATTTTGCTTCACTATGATTATTTATTTAGGGAGAAATTAAAAAGAAAATGGGGGAGAATGGGGAGTTGAGAGCAGGAGTAGTGTCTGTGATGGCTCCCAAAAAAGAGAACTTAGAGAAATTATTATTTCTTTATTATATTAATAAGCAATTATTAATTGAGGGTAAGGCTTTCTTTTCTATTTCCTCATTCAGAAATAAACCCTTGTAGCCAGTCTCTGAAGGACATTGCTGATAGATGAGACTGCCTAAATCCTCAGGGTACACATTTTTAGATCTTGGGTGGGACCCTATTCAACTAGAAAACCTAACAAACAGAATCCAGTCTAGGTGAGATCTTGCCCTTAGGAAATAAGGCCTTGACTTTACAGCTTCCAATTAAAATAATCCAGTTTATGAAGGGGAAAACCAGACAGTATGGTCTGGGTAAAGATGGCTTCTTTTGTACAGACTGCTGGAGGTAGCTGAGTCTCATGATTGGGTCACTTCTCAGCAGGAGGGGCTGAAGACTTTTTCCCCACCTCCTCATTAATATGTCCACTCCCTCACTGATTGTTAACCAATCAGCTTTGCTTTCTACCCTCAGGAACACCCCCTTTTTCAAATCTATTTAAGCATTCAATATTCTCCAGGGTATGTGTAGGGGTGGGAAGGGGGTCTTTGGTTTAGGAGAGAAAGCCAAATGACCACAATTTTATTAATTATCTGCTACCCATAACTAATAAAATTGATTATTAAATGCCCAGAAACTATGTCTCTCAAACTTTTCATATGTCATAGAATAAAGGAACAGAAATATATCATTTTTAGAATTCAGAGAAGAGAATAGAAGGAAGTTCAAAGGGAAACACAGACAAGCTTTGAAACTGTCGAAGTGATTTCTTGTTGATTTCTTGTTGTTGTTCTTTGTTTATGGAGATGTTCCTTTTTTTTTCTTTGTCAAGTATAGCAGTGATGTCAAACACAAAAAAAAATGGAGGAAGAGGCAGAGCTAAGATGGTATAGTAAAGGTAGGGACTCACCTGAGCTCTCCCCCAAACCCTTCCAAATACCTTTAAATAATGACTCTATGCAAATTCTAGAGCAGCAGAACCCACAAAAAGATGGAGTGAAACAAATTTCCAGCACAAGACAACATGGAAGATCACCAGGAAAGGTCTGTTGTACCACGTTGAGAGAGAAGCACAGTCCAGCACAGGCTGCATCAGTGTAGCCCCGGCCCCAGCAAACTGGGAGCAGGCTGTGGGGCAATTGAATAACAGGCAGCACTGACAGTTTCTAGAACTCTCAGACCCCAGACACCAAAGACAACTTAAAAGGTCAGCAAGAAAGGTCTGCCACTCGGGGGTGAGAGTGGAGCACAGTCCAGTGAAGGCTGTGCCAACACAGGCCTGGCCTGAGCAAACCAAGAGCAGGCCTTGGGAGTGACGGAATTGGCAGTGGCTGTTTCTGGAGCTCTCAGCCCACAGATAATAAGGGGGTCAAACAACTGGTCAGAAGGAGATTACAGGAGTCTTTTTGCTAACACTTTGGGAGAACTCTGTTGCTTTGTCCATATGCAGATCTGGGTCCCACTCTTGGGTGGCTGTCCCAGGGTGAGAAGGAGCATTAGCATAGCAGAGCCTACAATCACAGTGGAGGGAGAACCCTTCTCACAGTTCCAGGGCAGAAAATAGTGCTTGTGGTCATTTATAGACCAGAGCACAGGCCAGGAGAGGAGTAAACACGTCATGCCTTATCACACCACCTTGGAAGAACTGAAAACTTACAGGTCTCTGGAAGTATCAATGAAAACAGCTGCACAAAACCCCTGAAGCTTGGGACCATACATTCTCCACATTGGAAACAGACCCCTACCTTAACAAAGAGTTTATAACTCAAGTAATTGGCCAGGATCATGAGCAAGAAGCACAAAGAGTCAGACTGTATTATATTACTTTGGTGACAAAGAAGATCAAAATATACAACCAGAAGAAGACAACAAAACCAAAGCCCTTACATCCAAAGCCTCCAAGAAAAATATGAATTGGTTCCAGGCCATGGAAGAGCTCAAAAAGTATTTTAAGAAGCAAGTAAGAGAAGTAGAGGAAAAACTGAGGTGATGCTAAAGGAGACCTCAAAAAATGCTGAAGAAAATAACACCTTAAAAAATAGCCTAACCTGAATGGCAAAAGAAGTCCAAAAAGCCAATGAGGAGAAGAATGCCCTAAAAAGCAAAATTGGCCAAATGGAAAAGGAAGTCCAAAAGTTAACTGAAGAAAACACTTCCTTAAAAATTAGAATGGAGCAATTGGAAGCTAGCAACCATCTGAGAAATCAAGGCACTGTAAAACTAATCCAAAAGAACAAAAAAATAGAAGAGAATGTGAAATATCTCATTGGAAAAACAACTGACCTGGAAAATAGATCTAGGAGAGAGAACTTAAAAATTATTGGACTATCTGAAAGCCATGGTAAAAAAAAAAAGCCTAGACATCATCTTTCAAGAAATCATCAAGGAAAACTGCCCTGATATTTTAGAACCAGAGGGCAAAATAGAAATTGAAAGAATCCACTAATCACCTCCTAAAAGAGATCCCCAAAGGAAAAGTCCTAGGAATATTGTAGCCAAATTCCAGAATTCCCAGGTATGAGAGAAAATATTGCAGGCAGCGAGAAAGAAACAATAGAAGTATTGTGGAAACACAATCAGGATAACACAAGATTTAGCAGCTTCTACAGTAAGGGAACGGAGGGCATGGAGTATGATATTACGGAGGGCAAAGGAGATAGGATTACAACCAAGAATCACCTACTCAGCAAAACTCAGTATGATCCTTCCGGGTAAAAAATGGTCATTCAATGAAATACAGGACTTTCAAGCATTCCTGAGGAAAAGACCAGAGCTGAATAGAAAATGTGACTTTCAAATACAAGACTCAAGTGAAACATGGAAGAGGTAAACAGGAAAGAGAAATCACAAGAGACTTATTAAGGTTGAACTGTTTATATTCGTGCATGGAAAGATGATATTAACTCATGAGTCCTTTGTCAGTATTAGGGTAGTGGGAGGGGAAAAAGATTATATGTATGTATAGATAGATAGATAGATAGATAGATAGATAGATAGATAGATAGATAGATAGATGGAGGGCACAGGGTGAGTTGAAGATGAAGGGGTGATATAAAATTAAGGGGTGAGAGAGGACTATACTGAGAGAAGGAGAAAGGGAGGAGTAGAATAGGGTAAATTACCTCACATGAAACAGACAAGAAAAGGCTTTTACAGGGGAGGGGAAATGGGGGAAGGTGAGAGGAAATGAGTGAATATTATTCTCAAAGGATTTGGCTTAAGGAGGGAATAACATACACAGTGGGGTATGGAAACCTATCTTACCCTACAGGGAAAAAAAGAGGGGAAGGGGACAAGAGAGTAGAGGATTGATAGTGGGGAGGACAGGTTGGGGGAGGGGATAATCAGAAGGAAACACTTCTGAGAAGGGACAGGATCAAAAGAGAGAATAGAATAAATGGGGGGTAGGATAGGATGGAGGGAAATATACTTAATTTTTCACAACATGATTACTATGGAAGTGTTTTCATGACTACACATCTATAACCTGTATCAAGATGCTTGCCTTTTCAATGAGGGTGGGTGGGAAGGGAGGAAGGGAGAAAATTTGTAATCCAAAGTTTTAAAAACACATGTTAAAAAATAAAAAAAAAAAAAAGAAATCATCAAGGAAAACTGCCCTGATATTCTAGAAGCAGAGGGTAAAATAGAAATGGAAAGAATCCACTGATCACTTCCTGAAAGAGATCCCAAAATGAAAACTCCCAGGAACATTATAGCCAAATTCCAGAGTTTCCAGGTCAAGGAAAAATATTGTAAGCAGCTAGAAAGAAACAATTCAAGTATCATGGAGCTACAGTCAGGATAAAACAAGATTTAGCAGCTTCTACATTACAGCATCAGAGAGCTTGAAATATTATATTCCAGAGGGCAAAGGAGCTAGAATTACAAGAATCACCTACCCAGCAAAACTGAGTATAATCTTTCAGGGGAAGAAATAGATATTCAATGTAATAGAAGACTTTCAAGCATTCTTGATGAAAAGATCAGAGATGAATAGAAAATTTGACTTGCAAATACAAGACTCAAGAGGGGCATAAAAAGGTAAACAGGAAAGGGAAATCATAAGGGACTTAATAAACTTAAACTGTTTACATTTTTACATGGGAAAATGATTTTTGTAACTCATAAGACCTTTCTCATTATTAGGGGGTAGTTAAGAGTATATAAAGATAAAAGGCAAGGGTGTGAGTTGAATATGAAGGGATGATATCTAAAAAATAAAATTAAGGAGTGAGAGACGAATGTACTGGGAAAAAGAGAAAGGGAGAGATAGAATGGGATAAATTATCTCACATAAAAGAGAGAAGAAAAGGCTTTTACAATGGTGGGGAAGAGTCAGGAGGTGAGAGGGAATGAGTGAACCTTACTCTCATCAGAACTGACTTAAAGAAGGAATAACATACATACTCAGTTTGGTATAGTAATCTATTTTACCCTACAGGGGAATAGGAGGGGTAAAGGATAAGAGAAGGGGGGCCAGTGATAGAAGGCACAGCAGATTGGGAGAGGTGGTAGTGAGATGCAAAACACTTTTGAGGAGAGACAGGGTGAAAGAAGAGAGAGAATAGAATAAGCGGGGGGAGGGGAAATTGAATGGAGGGAAATAAGGTTAGTAAAAGTAACTGTGAAAAAAATTCGGAAGCAAGTTTCTCTGACAAAGTCCTCATTCCTTCAACATATAGAGACAAGAACAACAAAAGAAACAAACAACAAAAAAAAATTCAGCAGTGCAATTAAACACAAATAGCATTCCAACAGTTTGGCAAGTGATGAATTCACTTGAGATTAAGTGATTTTAGGCAGTCTGTAACAAAATGCTGCTTTGCTATAATAGTAGAAAGGCAACACATTCTTAAAATAAATCAAGAGACAGTCTCATGAGTTTTCTCGTCTCTTTTTTTTTTCTCCCTACATTGGTGCTTGCTACTATTACTACAGTAGGCTGCAAAACATATAGCAAAAAGGATTGGCTTGAAGGCATTTGATGTTTGTGAATAAATCCACAATTGGATCCAAGCTGAAAAGGTGACATGTGGTCAGCCTAGAAGGACAGTTCTGGACATGTGCTACACAGGTAAAGTCCAGGCTATGTTAAATTAAAAAAAAAAAGTCAGTGCATTTGTCATAATAAAGTTTTTTTTCAAAGCTTTCTTTTTGCTCCTTGTTGTGCTGACCACAAGCAAGTTTTAAAAGAGCATCAAGAGTCCGGCATAAATGGGGGGAAAAAAGCTGTAATGACATTGAACTGCACAATGTAAGCATTGAGCGTGTGCAAATTTTCAAATTAAGAGAAGGAAATTTTCCCTCTTTTGCAACATGGTATCTTGACATGTACAATCATAGGCTTGAATAAGACTGCCCCATGTATGTCCTAGTTTAAGGGGGGAAAAGCTCACGTCTTCAAGCATGCGGGAGCAGTCCTGTGATGTTGCTATAAGGCTTCAAAAAGCATGATCACTGGTGGTTTCATGCATTTGCCATTTTCTGGGTAAGAGTAATACCACCTCTTCTGAAATCGTTTCTCCAAGATACTTCCTCTATTCACAGCAAGACAGAGAGATACAGTTCTGGACCAAGGTCAACTATTTCAACCCAGCTTTCCTTCAGCAAGAGGGGAAAGATGGTCTGTCATCTTTTTGTTTATCTAGATTGGGATCAATCTCCGAATAAAGAAGGGGCAACAGAAACCAGAACTCCTGAATGTATGCAAACAGGGGTCCTTCAACATATAGAGAACTGAGTGAAATTTAAAAAATAAGATCAATTCCCCAGTTGATAAATGATCAAAAGATATGATCAGTTTTCAGATGAAGTAATCAAAGCTATTTATAGTCATGAGAAAAATTACTCTCACTACTGATTAAAGAAATGCAAATTAAAACAATTCTGTAGTACTACCTTATACCTATTAGATTGGCTAATATGACAGAAAAGGTAAATGACAAATGCTGGAGAGGATGTGGGAAAAATGAGACTTTACTTCACTGTTGGCAGAGTTGTGAACTGATTCAACCGTTCTGTAGAGTAATTTGGAACTATGCCCAAAGAGCTATAAAATTATGCATACCCTTTGACCTAGCAATACCACTACTAGGTCTGTATCTCAAAAGAGATAAAAAACCAAAAGGAAAAGGATCTACATGTACAAAAATATTTGCAGCAGCTTTTTTCTGGGGGTAAAGAATTAGAAGTTGAGGGGAGGCCCATCAATTGGGGAATGGCTGAACAAGTTGTGGTGTGTGATTATGATGGAATACTATTATACTATAAGAAATAATGAGCAGAAAGCTGTCAGAAAAACCCGGAAAGACTTGCATGGGCTGTTGCAAAATGAAATGTATTGTGTACAAAGTAACAGAATTATTTTAAAATGATCAACTATGAATGATTTAGCTATTTTCAGCAATGCAATGATCCAAGACAACTCTGAAGGATTTATGACGAAGACTGCTATCCAGCGGCAGCTAGGTGGCACAGTGGATAAGCTCTGACCCTGGAGTCAAATCTGACCTCAGACACATGACACTTTACAGCTGTGTGACCCTGGGCAAGTCACTTAACCTCAACTGCCTCACCAAAAAGGCAAAAAAAAAAGAAAAAAGAATAAAAATTGCTATCCAGCTCCAGAGAAAGAACTGATGGTGTCTGAATACAGATTGAAGCATAAAAAAAAAAAGAAAAGAAATGGGGACCACTAAACAATATATAAGGATCCCTTCAGGCTGCACATTGGTTTAGAAAACCATGAATTAACATTATTCATTATTTTTGTCTTATTGTACTTTTATTTATTTTGTTAACTATTTCTCAATTACATTTTAATTTGGTTCAAGCCTCAGATGCAGGCCTGTTTGAAGGCTCTGAAGTACAGAATAACAAATTTTTAGAAAAGAAAATCAGCAGTAAATTGATGTGGCTGAAATTAATCCAGATGGCTTGATGTTTTGGGTCCATTTTTCATCCATGTTTTTATATTACTATAATTTATGACTAAGTAGCACAAAATCTCCTTACCTTTTCAATCTCCAAGCCACAGTGGGCACCGTGCCTTATGGTTGGTGTTCACTTCATATCCCATTTGTGTTATTAAACGTCACCTCTGATCCCATTAGGCCCTCTGCAGCTTATGTAGCTTTTCTTGAACTTCTGAGATGACAGCTATAAAAAAGATACAAATCATCTTTGAAAAGCAAAAATGTGAGATGCTCCCCATCAGTCCTAATTCTATACTTCCAGTCTGAGGACCTGAACAATGCCTGCAGGATAGCCATGAATAGTTGTGTCAGACTCTTTTGTGGATATGGATTTAGCTCAGTCCTTCAAACAGCTGGATTTCCATTCTGAATCCAGGATTTATCTTATTGATGATGTCAACATAGGTTATCCTGTAACCACCTTTGTCTCCATTGAGTCAAATTCTTTTTATAGGCTTCAAATGCACAGCATGTGGAACTTAGGATTCTTTCTTTTTTCCACCTAGAAGTTGCTAGATGTGTGTGTGTGTGTGTGTGTGTGGGTGTGTGTGTATACACTTCCAATCTACCTTTTCATGGAGGTGAGAGGTGCACAGGTATTACACATTGGACATTTTTTTTTTTACTTTTTCAATATATTAATTAATTGGGTTGACTTTTTTCCTCTCTTAAAAATTACTATTTATCACATGAGATGGCTCTGTGAGAGGGGGACGGAAATGGATATTTGGGATAATTATGGTGATGTAAGAAAGAGAAAATATCAATAAAATTTTATAAAGAAAAAAAGAAGAAAGGGTCCTGAGGGAAAGATCAATATACAGTACTGTGCAGGGCTATTCTTAAACAATGAAGCTATTCTTAAACAATACATGGAAGCACAAGACCTGAACTGTCAAACTTGGATTAGGGAAAAAAAGCAACTTATCTGCTTAGCAGCTCTTTTCATTTACTCTTTCATCAACTATGCATATTTCTAGCATAGAAATACTTATATGTGGGACAAGTGCCAATGGGAAAACACTCAAATCTATTTTGTCCTGAGAAATGCTGCTGCTGTTTGTCCTTTGTTTTTGAAGAGGACCAGTAGTATCACAGAGTGATATCTTGACTCCCATGTGAATTGGATTTAAATAAGGCAGAGCTGCACAAAGTCATCAGCCTCACTCTGTCTCTTCCAGTCATTGAAATCCAGTGGTAAGACAAAAGGCAAGACGACCTTGCAGTGGATGGCCTTGGCATCTTCAATGTCTGACCAAGGCTTAGGCATTCTACTGTGCCTGCTTCAGCCACCTTCGTGGCCCTTGGAACAAATTATTCCCATCCACCCATTCTGACAGGGGAAACTTCCCATGCTTGGGGTAGACACCCCTCTAACTCATCAATGGATTTGGGGCCGTTTGGTTACCCTCACCCTGAGTTAATCTGTCTGCTGAGATGGTTTTAAGTGGGGATAGAGTATCAGGTATTCAGGCAGGACTAGCATCTCTGGTGGGAGGGTTTACTGAGTCCTTTTTAGGGCTGCTCAGCCACCTTTGGTGTCTACCTGGCACTCAACTCTAACCTGTGGCTCCAAGAAGTTATAGTCCTTGGAAATACAAAGTACTTCTCAGATATGTCCATTGTTACAGAAAAAAAAAAAAGAAAATGAATGAGCTCTGAAGAATGAAGGTTAGTTTTAAGCAGGACAGAATCATAGAAACTCAGAGTCAGAAGGGACCATTGCCTCTGGATAGAGTTTGATCCAGATCTAACCATACTGGGACCAATATCTCTCCTACAACATATCCAACAAGTAAGCATCCAGCCTTTGCTTGAAAATCCCCAGTGACATGGGATGATGGCACAGCCCCTTTCAGTTCTGGATGGCTCTAACTGTAAGGAAGTATTTCCTTTCATCCTTCTTAGAAGCCAAAACTGGCTTCCTTTCAACTTCTTCCCTTTGCTGCTTGTTCTGACTCATGGGGCTAGGTAGGACAAGTCTGCACCTCTTTCATATGACAGTTCTTTGAATACTTAGGTACACGTACCACATCCACTATCATAACCCTTACCTAAGTCTTCTTCTCTTCAATAACCTTCAGATGATCCTCATGTGGCATCTTCAAGGCCCTTCACCATCCTTCATCAGACAAAAATAAAATGGTCCTTCCTCCCAAAAATTTTACACTGTACTTGAGGAAACAATATGAATACAGACAAATAAATACAAAATATATACAAAGGGATGAGAGAAGAAGGCAAAGAAACAGAAATAATCTGTGGGGACTGGCAAAGGCCTCATGTAGGAGCTGGCATTTGACCTAGCCCTGAATGGAGTTGGGGATTTGAAAAACAAGGTGCCTACGTTTGATGCCCTCCAGCTTACTTAAGTCCTTCTAAAATGTGCCTCCCATGGCTGAATATAATATATCAGATGTGGCCAAATCAGGGCAGGGTACGGTGGGATTAACACCCCCTTATTTCTGGAAGCTGGCTCCCCTAATGGAAAAAGAAAATAACTATTTTTTTTTTTGCTATTTGGCACTTAAAGACCTTTCTAATCTGCGCCCAATCTATCTTTCCAGATTAGTCAAATACACTTTAGTGTCTCTTTATTACAGCCAGAATGGCCAACTCGATTTCCCCATGCACAATATTTCATCTTCATCTGAAACACTCTCCATCTTCACCTTCTCTCCTTAGCATTCTAAACTTTTTTGTGGGAACAGTCCAAATGCCACCTCCTATAAGAGGACATTCCTGGATTCCTCCAGTCAATGGTGCTCTCCTTTCTCCCCAGTGAGCCTCAAAAATAACTTCATAATTATTTTACATATTTTTCTCATTTATTTATCAGTGTACATGTTATTCCTTCCCAGAAGACTGTAAACGATTGAGGGTACAAACTGTTTACTTGTTTATCTTTGCATCCGCAGAGCCTAGAACAATGTCTGGCACAGAAGAGAGCCTGATAAGTGTGTGTTGAATTCAATGTCACAGTATCAACTCCTATCAAACTTATAACTCACCAAACATCTTGATCTTTCTCAGAAAACCTGTCTTGGAACACCTTCTCTATCTTGTACTTATGAAACTGATTTTGTGAAGTGAGTGCAAGATTTTACATTTATCCCTATTAAATTTTAACTTATTAATCAACCAACCAACAGGCATTTACTGAGTACAGCTACATCCCTTATTAGTGAGAATAATGAACCCCCTGAAGTAGTCTCATTATTTGAATTCACACAGGATAATTCCATTGGGTTGAAATTAATTACCATATTTAACATAATTGTAACTTCAAGTATATTATATCTTCAGGGAATTCATTATTCATCCTGATTGGGATCTACCTTGTTTACCATGTAAGCTGTGGGTTAGTGCTAGAAATATAAAACAAAAGGGGAGGAAACACTCCCTGCCATCTAAGAGCTTACATTCTAACTAGGGATGTTACATGCCAATGAAAAGGCAAAGAAAGGCTATCTACATCTCAGCTCCTTTGGTTTCTCCCATCTCTCTCCTGCCTCTGTTTCACTGGTTACTAACCACTGATTTTCTGTCCTGGCTTCTTTTCTTTTTGCATTATTTTGGATACTTGAAGATAGTAATAATTTGTCCAAGTGTAGCTTATAATTGTTTAAGGAAAATAAACAGAGACAAATTGAGAGAAGACTTCCAAGGAATGAGGGCACAGGATCATAATTTTTTTTTTTTTGCAAGAAGGGACCTTAAAGAATCATTCAGTCCAGAGGTTCCCAAACTCATTTGGCCTATTGCTCCCTTTTCAAAAAAAATTACTCAGTGCCCCCCTGGAAATCTACTTTCTTTAATCCTTTAGTGACTTTTTAAAAAAAAAAATTGCATCATTTCAAAAACATATAAAATATATTTTTAAATCGTGCACTTACATTTATTAATTTATTGTAAATTTGTGAGGTTTTTCATGCATTGAAATTTTGATGATGCAATATTGTGTCATATAACCATGTAGTATTTTATTCTAAACAAGTCATTACATACACATATTCTTGCCGATGCATGCTGGACTTCCTGACAATGCACGATATGCTCACCTGCCAACACTTGCTTGTTAAGACTTGTTATCAAGCCTGACCACTGACTGGTTATAACTTGCATTTTGTGTGTTTATTTGCAAAATAATGCAATCACTATGACTTTAATTCTGCTACACAACAGATGAAACATGTAAGAACAATTTTTCAAAATTTTCTTATCTCTTTTTCTTTCCTTATGCTTCCACTGCTACCTTATTTTTATTCACTGCCCTGCAAGTGCTACTACCACCTCCCTGGATCATTCCAGCACCCCCCAGGGCAAAGCAGAAGTCAGAGAGAGTTCAGAGGAATGGTCCAGGATTCTGGAATTCAATGCAGAATAAATCAGGGACACACACTACTAGATGAAGGTAAGTAGTTCATGTGTCTTACACAAGTCTTCAACCCAGGGGACTTCATTTAGAGGCTGGGATATTCCTTCCCTTGGGAAGTATAACATCTAGGCAAAGGTGTTCTGGTAAATATTTAGAAATGTTCCTTCAGGGGAAAAACATATGCAGGACACACTTTTAAACTCAATATACATTATTAACATTTCTCCATCACTTTCTTAAGTCTGGACAATCAACAAAGCAATAAATAGAGCCTGGATTTGTAGCATTTGCTGATTTCCAAGATGTAGATGACCCACTGAAAATTTAATAATAGGGCTCAGAGCCAGGATGAACTGGCTTTAGCACACCCCTGCATCTATGACAGAACAGCATTAGCTGACAACCAGCTGAGAGTAACACTTTTGTAGGAATAAGGCAATGAATGGGTACGTGGACAGGAAAAGAATCAAGCATAGGGAGAAGATTGCAATCAATCAATCAACAAAAATTCTACGGTCCATACACACACACACACACACACACACACACACACACAATAATAGATTTTAGAACTGGAAGAGATGTTAGACGACATCTAATTCAACCTCCTAATTTCTCAGATAAGAAAACCTCTGCCCAGATAGTTTAAGTGATTGATCCAAGGTCACATTAAAGGTAAAGTTCAGAGCCAGCATATGAACCCAGACCCTCTGTCTCCAAATCTAGCACATTTTGCATAGTATTACACTACTGTGGGAAGTTATCAAAGATTTTTTTCATTTAATATTTTTCTCCAGACTGATTATGGCTAATTACCTCATTCAGCAAGTAAGAAAATTCTTTTCATTTTCCCTAGGAAAAAGGGAAACTCTATTGTTAAATTTGTTATTCGGAAAGAATTTAAAATTTGGCTCTGTAAGAACATTGCCATTTTTCTTCCTTCAGTCCTAACTTATTTTATGTCCTACTAGGAGAAAAAATAATCATGTTCATTCCAAAACATCACCTTCCTCTTAAAACTCTATCTCCTGAAAAATAAATTACATGTAGGATAATAGTTTTAATCCTGATACATGAAGTACTAACCTTTAAAGGTCCATTTCATAAAGTGCTTATGACTTTCTGTCTGACCTTTTATTCTTGAGCTACTTGACAACATATAGAACATCATCATTAAACCTATTAATATTAAAAATTTCTGTGCTGTTACGAAGGAACGTCACTATCAGCAATAGGAGTCAGGAAACTAGGCCTTCAGTGCAATCCCTACAGGCAAAGGCCTGTTTCCTCAGTGGCTTTGAGCAAATCACTTCTAATTTGTAGATGACAGAAAGCTGGGAACAATAGCTAACACACTGGAGGGCAAAACTAGTCCTTAAAAAGATCCCGATGGGCTAGAACATGGACTTAAATCTGAAATGAAATTGACCAGAGATAAATGTAGAGTCTTATACTTGAGTTCAACAATCTACTTTGCAAGCATAAAATGGAGAAGGCATGAAGAGACAAGAGTTCATCTGAAAAATAACTTGGGGTTTTAGTGAACTGCAGTTAGACTATCAGTTAACAGTGTGAGATGGCAGCCAAGAAAGCTAAATCAGTCTTAGAGAAAAGTACATTGTTTAGGAATAAGATGATATTTCTACTATATTCTATCACGGTCAGACCACATCTAGAGCACTGCGTTCACTTCTTGATGTCATATGTTTCATGGATTGTCAAGGCAAAAAAAAAATCATCACCATGTGGCTAAATCAACTTTTTCTTAGTTGGCAAGGTTGAACCTTGGAAAACAGACTTAGTCTGGCTTCAAGGAATACCTGAAGCCTTTCCAGCATGATGGAGGCTGCCATAACCATTAAGAATTCAGAGCCATTTGTGGTTCCTCCTATTGGTTCTAATTCTTACTTACAACATCACTAATGTGAAAATATGTTTAATAAGAATGTATATGTATAGCCTATATCATATCGTGTGCCATCTTGGAAAGGGAGATGGGGAGGGACGGGGAGAAATATTAGAAACTCAAAAGCTTATGGAAATGATTGTTGATCAATCAAAAGAAATTAATAAAAGTTAAAAAGAACAAAAAGAATCCAAAGTCACCTCCACATCACTCACCATAATGAATATTGGAATAGCCCTTGTTGGAGGGTTTCAATTTACATCATTGGAGGGAACTTCAGAATCAATGAGATCACAGATCACTTTGAGTGTAATAAGATAGAGTGTGTCCAGAAGAAGGCAATCTACATAGAGAAGGGACTCAAGTTCATGTCATAGGAGAACTGATTAAAAGAACTCTACCATCTAACTTAAAGAAAAAGAAACCAGACGGGAGAAGGTATTGGAATATTATAGCTGTCCACAAGGATCTGCAGGGCTGCCCCTTGGAGAAGCGATTAAATTTGTTCTGCATGGCTCTTTTTCTGGCTGGAATCATGGCAGGCATAGAAGAAAAGAAGAAACTATCATCCATTCCAGAATTCCTTCTAAAAAAGTGAAAGGCTTTTGCAGTACTGAAGTCCAAACTCCTGAAAAAGGAGATGGCTATAAAAAAGCTGCATAAAATACTCAGGAAAGTCATCTATGGAAAAGCTAAAGTCTACCATAAGGAGTACAGACAGATGTACAGAAGTGAAATCCAGCTGGCAACTACTATGTACCTGCTAAACCCAGATTAGCTTTTGTGATCAGAATCAGAGGTATCAATGGTGTTAGCCCAAAG